TTTGTTGGTTAGAGTAATCTTTGTTGTAGGTCCTTACTTTTCATCACTTTGAATATTTCTTGCCAGTCCTCTCTTGCCTGCAAAGTTTCTTTTGAGAACTCAGCTGACAATCTTATGGGAACTCCCCTGTAGGTAACTGCTTTTTTTCTCACTTCTTTTAAGATTCTCTTTTTATCTTTAACCTTTGGCATTTTAATTATTATGCGCCTTGGAATGGGCCTCTTCATGTCCATCTTGTGTTTGAGACTCTGTGCTTCCTGGACTTGCATGTCTATTTCCTTCACCAATTAAAGAAGATATTTTTCATAATTTTTTCAAGCATATTTCCAATTTCTACCTCTTTCTCTTCTCTTTCTATTATCCCTATGATGCAGATCTTTGGAACACTCGAAGATATCCTAGAGGCTCCTTATACTATCCTTATTTTTGGGGGGGGGTTCTTTTTTCTTCTTGTTGTTCTGATTGGTTGTTTTTTGATTCCTTATGTTTCAAATCATTGATCTGATACTTGGCTTTTTCCACTCTACTGTTGATTCTCTATAAATTGTTCTTTATTTCAATTAGAGTATCCTTCATTTCTGATTGAATCTTTTTTTATGGAGGTCATCACTAATTCCTTGAGAATCTTCATAACCAGTGTTTTGAACTCTGTATCTGATAGATTGCTTATCTCCATTTCACTTACCTCTTTTTCTGGAATTTTGATCTGTTTTTCAATGAGGCCATATTTCTTTGTCTCCTCATTTTGGCAGCCTCCCTGTGTTTGTTTCTATGTATTAGGTAGAGCTTCTATGACTCCCTGTCTTGGTATCATGGCCTAATATAGTAGGTGCCCTGTGGGTCCGTGGCACAGCCTCCCCTATCACCCAAGCTGGGTACACAAGGTGCATCTTTGTGTGGGCTCAGTACCCTCCTCTTGTAGTTGAGCCTTGGTTGCTGTTATGGGAGGGATTTACCCAGGCCAGTCAGCTGCGAGGATTGGCTGGGACTACTTGCCACCAACCTTCTCACTCTGTGGTGGATCCACTGTGTGGGTACAGGCTGGTAGTGGTCCAATGTGGTCTGTAGCTGCCCAGTGGGTGTGCAGGCTCTGGGCTTTCCCAGGCAGTGGTGGCCAAGGTCAGCCACCACTTGTGTTCTTCCCAGGACCACCCTGCATGAGCTATAAAGCAATCTGAAATAGCTGCTACTTTTGCTAGGGTAAAGTCGGAAAACTTGGGACAACTCTAATAGCATAATCAATAAAATATAATTAAAATATATAATGGTAATAATCACAATATTTGCATGGTGCATAATCATGACCAGGCACTGTTCTAAGTATTTTATGTATATTAACCTTAATATTCATAAGAATTGTAGGAGGAAAATATCATTACCCTTTTTCCTCATTTTTTATACAAAGACACTGAGGCACTGAGGGGTTAAGTTATTTGATGGAGGCATAGCCAGTAGGTGGCAGAGCTGAGTTTTGCACTTGGACAAGTTGACCCCAGAATTCCTGTGCTTAGTTGTTATCACAAGTTGCCCCCTCTTAGAAGTTATGTGTTTTGCTAGCACCTATTTGCAGAACATAATAGACTGGCAGAATATGAGGTAGAGAAATATAGGTTTCAATCCTAAATTTCCTCTGCTAACTTGGGCAGTTTACATACTGTTGTTTAGATTTTTTTCCTTGTAAAACAGAAATAATATTTGCTTTGCCTACCTCATAGGTCATTGAGTAGAATGAATACAACAATGTATGTGAAAGTGATCTGTAAAGTGTTATGTAAAGAGTCACTACATAAACTTTGAATAGGTGTGTCAGCTAGGCTGTAGCTTCAGCTGTGCGTGATGAAGTGCTCCGTAAAGTGAACTGGGTCATAGCTAGAAGTTAGCAAAGCTCTGACTTGAACCCAGGGTTGCCTGTATATAAAAGCCGTGCTTCTAACTACACCAATGCACTCATTCCTCTGGGAGGTGGTTACTATGATAGCTAATGGTGCACCATCCTGGGTATGTTTCATAAAAATAATGTAAACATAAATTGTCCTTCAAGAATTTCCCACAAACTGTTTTACTGGTGGGACTAAATCAGAAATTCCTACCTCTGACTTACAAACTGAACTGAGAGTAGCAGAGAAAGATAGGTCAAGTGATTAAGCTATAAAGTGGGTGTCCAAGCAACCAGAAATGCTTGTCAGAGGGAGATTTCTTCTTACCCTGTCAAGGTGGGGACATTCCAGACAGGCGCCTTTGAGACTCTGATTCGGAAAGCAGCTCAAATTCCCACACAAGAGGGGAATGTTTATCAGTTTGGAAACGTTCAGAGAGTACTCAGGGAAGAGAATGGTAAAGGGTCTCTCCATCTCATATTTACTACTTCAAGCAAGGTTTCTCCACCTTGGGACAAGAGAGGGTAAAAAAAATCAAACTAGAAGAAAAACTATTATAAACAACAATGTTAGCACTGCCCCTCTTTGTCCTCTAGCAAATCCCTCACTCAGAGTTATAAATCATTGTAATATCGCTAAAGTACAAAATCTATTAATCAATCAAAAAGTATTGGCCAGGTGTGTGCCACGTGATTAGCCTATGTATGAGCCTGGGGTTAGCAGGGTAAATGCTTGTAGAATCTGCAATGCAGATCTAACAGATGAGGTTTTAGAAACTGCTATGTGCCAGATTGTGTGTCACTGAACATGAATGTAACAAACTTCAAGAATGCAAGTTCCCTGAAAAAAGAATAAAGAAAGATGAAAATGTGAAAGAAAGAAAAAAAGACATTGAGAAAGTCTGAGGACACAGAGCTCAGTAAGGCCGGTATGGTCGACTATATCATAATATATCCAAAGTAATGTGCAAGTCATTACTAGAACCTCCTTTTAATACATGTTAAAATCAACCTTTATTTCACATAAAGTAAAAATGAAGACAGTGGATACCGAACTCTAATACAGACCTTTTAATAAAAAAGATCACAAATATTATATATCTTTCCCTGGTTATGCTGTACCGCTGCCATTCTCCCATTTCTTCATTCCTTCCTCATGAGTTGACTGTGGGGGCGGGGTCCAGCACTGTGACAAGGGCTTGGCCTATGAAGATAAATAAACTGTGGTACCTGCAGTCTGTGCTCAGCGTAATCACTCAACAAGCAGCAATGACTATAATATAATGAAACATAATGAAAGTCTAATGAAGACCAACGACTATAAAGAAATTACTTTCTCAGCTGAAACATAGGAAGTAGGCAGTGGTTAAGGTAGGGTGAAGAAAGTAGTAAACCACTCTGCTTTGGCAGTCTCTGCTCTGGTCCCACTTTTCTAGGGTCAGAGAATATTTCTTCTGTCATGCATTCATGTCCTCTCTTGTCCCCTTCTTCCACTTCTCTCGCTATCTTTTTTTCTCCTACAGCAAATGACAAGAAAGTCAAAGGAACTATGGGGTTGACTAGGGGAAGGAGACAAAGGAAACCAACTTGCTATGCTACATCCCCTTTTCTTGAGGCATGGGGGAAAGGAAGGGCTAGCTTCTGATAAAGTGAGTTTTTTGTTGCAGTCCTGTGTGAGTTGTAAGGGACCAGAAATGTCATCCTCCTTCCTTTCCATTTTACAGTTGGGGACATTGAGGTTTAATGACTAACCTAAGGCCACACTGACAGTTAGTGGCATTGGTAGGACTAGAACTCAGACTTAACTCCTACGAAGGTTTGAATGGCCGAGTGGAAAAGTGCCCCTTTTATGCTGAGTAGGTGAGGCAGCCAGAGTTGGAAATTCCACTGCTTTCAGCAGTCTCTTCAAACATATTTTCGACAATGAGGCAGTCCTTAATTTCTGGTCCTCCAAAAGAAATGGAGAACAACTGATTAACCTAGTTGTTCCACAGCCTTCTGTTCCTTAAGGAAAACCACACCATGACCATCACTCAAAAGATATTTATATCTTTTAACATCTTTGCTACTCTTCCTCTAAGCCTGACTTGTTTCTCTATATCCTTTTCAAAATATGGGGACTCAGTCTGAACCTAGAGCTCTAAAGATTTGTTGGGTGGAGTAAAATGATGTCCTCGTGCTCTGTTTTTTAATGCATCCTACTTGGATTTTTCGTTTTTGCTTGTTACTAAATTCTCAAAAGATTACTGGTTCCAGGTGTTAGTAATGACTTCAAGAAATTTATATTATTGATTTAGTTTTTACTTTCCTTCTTTTTGTCCTTTTTCTTCTACCATTTGTCAGCTTCTCACTAGTGACCAGGTGTCAGATACGTGTCAAGAAAACTAATCGCCTTCTAACAGGATTTGGAATAGAATTAATGCGGATCTTGGGCCCTTCCTGTTCCAGCTTTAGCAGCCCAAGGCCCGTGACTCTTCAGAAAGATTAACTGGCTGGGAAACTGAACCCCACGGTATCTCAGGGCCTGGGTTCTGTCTTTGAACTCTAGGAAGTGAATTTTGTGAGATTTAGTACTCGAGTTTATCAGAGATAGAGCCTGGGTGTGTAAGGGACGCTGGCCAACACACCCCAGGACGTCTAGTGAGGCAAACGCAACTCTTATTTTCAAGGTGATGCCTCGCAGTCAGCGAGTGCATCCTGCCAGATAAGTTCCTGCTTCTGGACGCCTCTAAACCTCTGACACACGACAGTGAGTCAAGCTGGTGCGGCGGTGGAGTCATTTGAAGGGGTACTGCTAACTGCTGGCACTACCTGCCAGGCGTCTTCCAGTCTTACCAGCTGTTCGAGACAACCGCGCACTTCCAAACTCGGAGCTCACCCCTCCTCCAACTACCCCACCCCAGTCTCCAGCCCGCCCAGGTCGCACCTTAGCTCTACTTCCTAACCGGTGTGCAGCCGAGATGGGGCGGAGCTGCGGGATGGCTCGTGACGTCACTCCTCGGCTGGGGCGGCGGGGTGGTGGGAGCCGCAGTGCTGCGCAGAGGGGCGGGGCCAGGCGGGGCGGGGCCTGCGCGCGTGACCGGGCTGCGGCGGGCAGGAGCCGGGAGAAAGGTGGTGGGGGGCCGGGCCGTGCGGCGTCCGGAGGCGGGGCGGGGAGTGGCCCGGCCCTGGCGGCCGGCGCTCAGCTCGGCGGAGCTCTAAATCGGGTCACGCTTCCTTCTTCTCTCCCCTCCCCTCCTTCTCTCACCACCTGGGCCTCTGCCTGGAGACGCGCACCTGGCAACCAGTGGCCGCGCTCCGCCGGGTCTCCGCCTTCTCCGCTTGGGCCGGGGCCCCGGAGTCTGCCCCGCAAACACCGGAGCGGGTCCCTGGCTCCCGGAGCCCGCCCCTGGCCCCTCTCCGCTCTGCCGGCGCCCGGCCCGCCCGAAGCCGCCGCGAGCGCTCGCTCGTTGATGCCGTTTTGGGGGTGACCCGCCGCGGCGGCCGCGCCTGCAGGGTGCGGGCGGGTAGTGGTCGCGGCTCTGCTGGACGTTGAGTGCGCTGCTGCGGGGTGAAGGGGGGCCAGCCAGTGAGACCTCGCGAGCAGTGGGGGTTTCGGGGCTCGGGAGGCCGCCACGGCCGCGCTGGAGCAGGAGATGTTGGAGCTGAGGCACCGGGGAGGCTGCCCCGGTCCGGGGGGAGCAGTGGCGCCGCCACCCCGCGAGGGAGTGGCGGCCGGCGGCGACCACGAGAACGAGAGCACCAGCGACAAAGTAAGTAGACGCGGGAGAGTCGCACACCCAGCCGCGGCTGGGTCCTGCTTTGGGCGGGACACCTGGGCACAAGGGTGGGGCCCGCGGAATGCAGGTGAGGCTGCGGGCTGCCCGCCGCGCCTCCCTCCCGGCCCGGCACTATTTCCTCCGCGCCGGGCGGGGTGGACGAACCGGGCTCCGGGATGGCGCGTCGTTCGGGACCGCTGAGTGATTCCAGGTGGCTGAAATGTCGATTCTTCCCATTCTAGCCCCTCGCCCTCCCTGGGGTCTGGGGTCGACGCTGGAATGTTGACGGAACCTGCAGGCGCCCTAGCAGCTGCGGTTTTCTAGTAGCCGCCACCTCACACCTCCTCTCCATAGAGAAACAAAGTTACCGAGGACTAAACTTAAGACGAACACCTTCGGTTCTAAAGTGTCATTGGATCCTGACGCCGGAGGCTTTGCTTCTCGCGCTCCCCCGTCAGCACTTTCGTTTCCTCGTCCTTTTTCAGTGTGATAGATTTTGAAGGTTGAAGAGTGCCATACACGTGACACAGTTGAATCCTCCTGCTTCTTTTGAGTGCACGGAAGACAGTGCAGGTCTTCTGTCTACCTGTAGATTTTATTTGACCTGACAAGGGACTCCTTGAGGACTTTTAACTCCCATTTCTATGGATTACTCTTCCTTCACATTTAAGAATAAGGAGATACCCCTATTCTATTTAATGGTAGAAAACGTCAACGTTTAGCTTATTCGTTAATACAGTGGTGCAGGTAGGGATTTTTGAAAACAAGCAAATGCAGTGTTATGACCTTTTAGACTGGATGATTCAAGTAATTGGGCCAGAGAATAAATTGTTTTATAAAATGTTCCGTTAATAAAATTTCACTTTATTTTAGAAACTCAAAGCACTTAAACTGTTCCTAGAAGCATTATTTTTGGAAGTGGGTATTGCAGTTTGAATTACAGAAGTGAAGCGTATTCCCCAAGGTCAACTCAGTGGCCTTTTGGAACAAGAACCTGTTTCTTGATTCACTTTCTTCTGGTTTGTACTGTGGCTGAGACTCACTGGCAGTTCCGATTTGGGGAGGGCTCCACCTGGACCTTGATGTTGATGTAATCCAAATTATGAATCCCTGGTAAGAACATATCACATGATATCATGAAATAATTAACAGTGATTTCAGGAATGAAACTTTAGAATCAATGGATTCTCCTTTATATTTTTTTTCTACCTTTTATAGCTGGTGGAATAAGATGAGAGTCTGTGATAGAACAAACCTACATGTCAAGGAATTACACAAAATATAACAGTTTCCAGCTTCTGAAGGCTGATGTTACAAAGCTAGAAACTAAGAATAGTCTTTGTGAAAACTGCCTTGGAAACTAGACCAAAAATAGAATTAATTAGGTTGGGATTTGTTTTATTTTAGCACCGACTGGTATAGTTTAGAATCGAGGAAATACCAGCTCCCCCTGTGTGGACTTCCTTAACAAGAAGAAGCTAACAAGCCTTTAATAAGAGAAAACATGTTCAGGAAGCCATGGATAAAATAACTTTTGAGTAAACTTAGTTTCTTAACACCCCAGTATATTTAATGTGGAAACTATTTCTAAGGTTTGATTTCACTCATTAGCATTGCTGTCTCAGGGACTAGGTCACCTCACCGAATATTTATTTATTTATTTATTTATTTATTTATTTATTTATTTATTTATTTTTAAATGGTGCACTGTTGGTTTTCATGAACACAAAGCCAGCTGCATTTTGTTTTCTGAGTGTACACATTGCCATATGTAATCTTGTAAGCTTTCTTAGGGATGAACATTTTCAAATTGTATCTAAAATATTGCTGTATTTTTAGGCTTTATCATGAGGCACTCTTGTCTTACAAAGCTTTGCTGGAGTCGTTGAACTTTATCTTCTGTTTCTCCTCTCTTTTCAGGCTGTATATTCGAATGCACCTGTATTCCAGGTCTAGGGCTATTTTAAAATCATTTTGCACATCAGAGGCTGGTTAATATTTGGTTCATTTAATCTCTTCTCTGTTCAAGTTGTGGTAAAGGCAAAAACACTTAGAGAATTAATGCAAGAAGCGAAGAAGGTGCCTTGTATTCCATATAGTACACTCTCATGCTTTTTGTAGTCTTTTAATAATGGTGTTATTAATGTGACATTCTCATTGTTCAGGACCTGGTGACTTATGCTGAGAGAAGGCTCTGTGCTCAAGATAATTAGCAAGTGAAAAGTGCTTCTTGCCTGCAAGGGGATGTTCCTTATGTTACAAGTGCTGGAGAAATACTTGAGAGATGACAAGACCACCCCTTCAAGGACTCCTCTTTCCCAGGGAGACATGTATAAGTTAGATTTATTAGAAGTCTGAACAAGGTTCATTATTCACATGGAGGGCATAGTTGGACTCTACATGGAGACAGCAGGAAAAGCTTCAAAGAGGAGGTGAGAGTTGAGCTTGGAATTGAAAGATGCCTGGGGACTCACCAGGAGGACAAGTGTTGGGAAGGACGTTCTAGGCAAAGGGCACATGGAGCTATTTATTTTGAGTCAGCCTTGTAGGCACAGGGACCTGAAATTAGTTTGGTAATCTTGGATCATATGCTGTGCGTTCTTGGGAGTTGGGGTTTGGGGGTTGAGAGCTTGAGAGTCTGGTAAGGGAGGTTAGGCTTTATTCCATGGACTTTGGGAAGCCACTGAAAAGTGTTTGCAAAGGCAGTAGCTTATCACTCAGCAGTCTGGAGAAAGTGTTGGAAGGGGGCGAGACCTGCCACAGCGAAACCAGATACTAGAGTAGTGCAAGTGTTATAGATAGGAAGTGATGAGGGCTTAGAGTGAGTCTAGTAGGGGCAAGGGAAGGGGGCTTGGAGGAGAGGATGTGTGTTTTTGATAATGCTGATAGGACCTAGACGAGGATGATCAAAGTAAGACTAATAAAAGAAGGGCCTGCCAGAAAAACATTTTAAGCCACAACTTAAGAGTCTTTTAGGGAAGAAGCAAGAATTATTGGGGAGTTTTGCAGGGAAGAAGTGAGCATGGGTGAGCTGGTCTGGACAGGGTATGTCATTCTCTAAAATAGAGAGGTGGTTCAAGGAGGTGGTGGAAACTGAAATGAAAGGCCAGGTGTGGAGATGTCAACTTTTGACTATGATGGTGGGTTACGGGGAGAACTAAAGACAGAGCCTTGGAAGGTGCCCATGTTTAAAGTGGTTTGGAGGTGCAGGGAAGGAACCGACATTGTGAGGTCCTGGGGCCTGGGAGAGAGGGAGTGCCTAGAGGATGTCGTCAGGAGCATTTAGGAAAGAGGGCAAGGCATAGAACACTGAGTTTGGCAAAGATCCCAGTAGAAGCCAGGTTTTAGGGTGAGGAATGTGAGAGGTGAAATACTGGTAGTTATTGTCGAGAAGTTCCAGCAAAAGGAAATGCAGGAACAGAAGCTAGACAGGATGTTTCCTTTATCGTGGGAGAGAAGATGAGTATTTGTGTGAAAGAAGTCAAGAGGGAGTGAAGATGCTGATGAGGATGGGCAGGATCTAGAAAAAAGGAAGCAGGCATAGTGTGAAGAATTCAGAAAATTGGGGTATCTAAGGAAAGGAATGAGGAATGGAAGGTGGATGCAGAAACATTTTGAAAAGCAGAAGAGGGAAGATCAAAGTGTTTGACTGATTCTTTCAATTTCCTCAGTAAAGCGGGGTCTCAGAACCATGGAGCTGCAAGGGAATCTTAGAAACAGTGTATTAATCATTCAACTCTCTGTACATTTAAAAATAATAAACTTGCTATACAGTGTGGTTGTTATTGCCCAAGATAATCTAGAGCAAGTGGCAGGACTGAAACTAGAACACGTCTCTGCCAGGACACTTTTGGAATGTTGTGTTAGGGAGTGTGATATGAAAAGACCCAGAGACGACTAGTCCTTAACCCAGTAGCAGTCACAGTCATAGTAGTTGATGTTTGCAATGATTTAGAGTTCAGAGAGTACTTTTACATCTTACTTTATTTGCTCCTCATAACAAGTGTGTGTGTTAGGAATATTCCCCATTTAATAGATGAAGATAAGAAAGGCAATAGGAGTAATTTCAGTCTGAGAATTTCAGGGCAAGGATGCCAAAGGAATGAGGGAGTCAGTGAGGCTGGGTTTGAAGTGGCAGACCATGAGTTAGAGTGGGCAGGAAAGTACTGAAGCCCAGAGTGGGTTGTTGAAGCTCTAGGTGGACTGAGAGAGCGTGAGCAATTGTAGATGAAGCTAAAAACTGACTCACTGGACCAGAGTGAGAGAACAGAGGGTGCACATGGAAGTTGTGGCCATAAAGGGAAGCACACCTTGCACAGTGTCCCTGCTGTGCTTGTATGTGGGGTTGCTGCTTTGATACAGAGTTTGGTTTGTGAAGTTGAGGGTGAAAGAATTCAGAATTCAGTTAATTTCTGTCCCTCCCCATTTGAGATGTGTGTAGTTTCTTTCATAAATACTCATATATTAAAAATAAACTTTTAATTTTTGAACTTGTGTTTCTTCATTTTGGGACACTTGGCCGTGTTCACATATTTGTTATGAGGAGCAAATAAAGTAAGATGTAAAAGTACTCTCTGAACTCTAAATCATTGCAAACATCAACTACTATGACTGTTACTGCTACTGGGTTAAGGACTAGTCGCCTCTGGGTCGTTTCATAGCACACTCCCTAACACAACATTCCAAAAGTGTCCTGGCAGAGATGCGTTCTAGTTTCAGTCCTGCCACTTGCTCTAGATTATCTTGGGCAATAACAACCACACTGTACAGCAAGTTTATTATTTTTAAATGTACAGAGAGTTGAATGATTAATACACTGTTTCTAAGATTCCCTTGCAGCTCTATGGTTCTGAGACCCCACTTTACTGAGGAAATTGAAAGAATCAGTCAAACACTTTGATCTTCTCTCTCCCGCTTTTCAAAATGTTTGTTTTGGTACCACCTGAATATGTAATGAACATTTTCTATAATTTTTATATAAACCTAGGCCACTT